CGGTGGAGCACATTCTATTCCGCCGGTCCCAATTGGCCAGCAAAGGGAGGTTTTAAGTTATATATTATATAACTTAAATTAAGATCGGACAAAACACGGACACGTCATTGTGGAGATACATCTGCTAAATCCGGCGTTGAAATGTGGACCTGTTCCATCCCTGTTCCCACCTTACGAACTGTGGGCAGGCAGGCCGTTTGCAGTGAAAAAGCGTTGGCAAACCTTATATATATATATATATATGGCCTATATTTTTTGGGGGGGCACACACATTCCGTTTTCTTCTTCATGTCACGGTGCAACGCTCAACTGCCGGCACCTCTCGAACACCCCCATACAACACTCTCCTCCACGCAACCGCCGGGTGGGTCGATGGTCCGTCGCCCGGATGCTCCGTGGCTCTCTGCGCAATCGAGACGTCGAGGGCGCTCTCTGCGCCTCCTCCCGGCGCATATGTTTGGCCCGCAAGCTGCGCTCGTGGAGTGCGTGCGCCTGACCAAGGGCAGCGCGGTACGCGGAAGCTTTGGCCAACACATGACTTAAGACCAAGCCCCTGCTGGGCTGCTATAGTCTGCTGCGCATTCTGGACTATGACCTGACTTCTTACCGAATAGAGTCTACGAGAGTTTGAGCATAATTACAAGTGCATTTAACACTACAAACTTAGATCCTTTGTCGTGCTGGATGGAGCATTGGGATGCTGTAGCGTTGGCACTGACAGCACAATAATCCCCTCCACCTATTAAAGAAACACGGCACCCCTATTGCCCTATTAAGCAAAACTAAATTTTGTAGTGGTTCTTAAGGCCGTTAATTTAATAACAACAACGATTTAGGGGGTTCCGACATGGTGGTGTTTTTTTTCACTAGGGGAGTGTCTTTCCCTAGGTACTTGGGAATATACAATGGCAAATCTGACTTCGCTCTACCCCCCCCCACCCCAGACCCGGCGTCCGGCGCGGCACCTGTCGACTTCGCAACTCACCTGGTCGACTCTTCGCCGCGGATCGGCGGAACACGTCCCCACAGTCAATGCCCCCGCCGTGCAGACGATCCCATGGCACCATGAAAATGGACCTCCTATATACTAGTCAACTAGTCTCATCTACCACCCGACGTGGGTGATAAAGGGTCCATGTGTTTTTATCTGCCGGAGGGTAGTGTTTTCAGAGATGGCACAAGTTATCATTGGGCGGCTGGAGGCGTGTTGATGTTTATGACTGTTATAATATGCAGTACTATCCACATAAACACTCTTGTCCTGCAGGGGCTTTACCAGCAAAGGCAACAGCAGCCTAGAAACCACAGGGCCACCAATGTCATCACATGCACAGCCTCCAGCAAAGGCCTCACAGGCAGCGGCTTCACCACCAGACATCCACAGCAATGGCATCCCTAGTGGCACCATTGGACCACCTACACTGACCCCAAAAGCACGTGAATCACGTTTAATTAATGTTCCTTCGGAAGAGCACGTTCAAAAGGGGCATAAACTTTGTGTCCTTGCTCCAACGGGCTGGATTCTTCTTGACACTGTCCCGTACAACCACCAAACCGCCCCCACAATGAGATGTTTTTGCGCTGAAAAGGGTCGCACTAATCGCCCACCTTGGAGCTCCTCAAGCATCACCTTCTCCTTCCTGGGCGGTGATGTTCGTCGCGCAGGAAGCGGGTGGACCACACAGACCGTGGCACGGCGTTGCTGTTGTTCGGATGGTGGTTGCGTGGCTGTGACAGTCGTTCATGGAGGATGGTACCATCACGGAAACAAAACACAAATGATCCCGTTGTTCTACAAAAATACCTCCTGCCTTAAAGAACGAATGCCAGAACTCAGGAGGCCCTTGGATCAATTTCCTAGGGCAGGGCCGGGAATGTGCAATTAAGTCACCCGTGTCGTTGATCAAAAAAAAATATATATATATATATGATATAACATATATTGATGTACCCCGGTGATCGTCTGTTTCTTCTCTTCAAGTTCGCGGCAGACCAGGGATCCTCCAAGCGTCAACCATGACCAGTCGTGGTAGAACTCAAGGTTGGCAGGCATTCAGTAGCAACAAAAGACCGCTCAAGAAGCAGTGGAGAGTTCAGGCTGCCCCAAACAAGACCACAAGGCATTGGAAGAACTCGGCTTAGTAAGGGCCTATGTAGCTGCTTTCGCACCCAGCTTTGCTTAAAGCATCGTGAAGAGCCATCTGGCGTGCCCGGCGCGCAACTGAGCAATTCATCCTGTGACTTGCCCTGAGCTGTTCCTCTGAAGGCAAGGGGCGCCACTTTTTGTCGGAGGAGCTCCATCTGCTGCTCTTCCTGGAGGGATGATCAGTCGAACGCCCCGTTGCGCGACCATGTGGTCGGTCGCTCATGGCATCCAATATCTGGGTGGAACCACCTGACCTGAGAGTTGCAGGATTTCCGACTAGCTGACTAGCTATATTGCCATGGTCTATTTCACCTGATTTTGCCATTATATAGTTGAGTGAGTATCTGCTTAGGGTGCCAAAGAGTCGCATGCAAAGCTGTCAAAGCACTGGCACTCGAATCCCACTGCAGGGGCTACCCTCGCGCAACGAGGTTTACTAGGCTTTGTTGAGGCCAAGGCTATTGGATGGACTGTTTTTGTTCAGGTTGTGATCGAGTGTTTCATAGTTTTTCCGTTGTCCGCCCCTTTCCCATCTACATAAGAAAATAGATGGCACGTCTCCAGTGTGAAGGAAGTCCTACTGGGTGATGGATCTGAACTTTTGTCTTTAGCTTTGCGGCATCAACACGCAGGTGTTGTTCCCACCTGCACTGAGAAGTTGATCATTCTGTGGGAGGAACAGGGAATCGGAGCCAAACTGTGGTTCAAAAGCACTCAATAGTGAATGGCACAGCATGGGATTGCTTTGGCATTCGGGGCTTGCTGTGGATAAATTGAATGAGCATAAAGAACTAACACAAACTGTTGACAGCATGATGTCTTGGATTACTGCTTGATTTTGCTTTTCTGTAAGAATTGTGCCCAAGACTCAACATAACCTGACGGTGATCAAATCTTTGCAATCAGCAATTGCCAAGACATGGTGTCTCAAACGCAACTTTAAAATGTTGCCGTCCACTGGCTGTGCCGTCCACTGGCTGTGGACGGGCCATCCACAGCTGGAATGCTTAGAAACATGACCGAACAAAAAGACAATAAAACATCGAACACTGTATTATATAGTAAATACATACCGGCAACTAGTAGGCAGGGACCCCTGGAACATCAAGTAGACCCAATGATACGCAATGATACTCAATGTATGGAACATTTGCCTGGGGCCTTCATTGGGATGCTTTGAGGGGATGCCCGTCGCACGCTGAGTCATGTGGGCCCAGCCACCCCCGGCGTTTGGTGCCATCTGCACCTGTTGCAGGGCCATCTGCGCCAGTTGTAAGCCTTCAGCAGCGCCCTGAGAGAGAGAGAGAGAGAGGGCGAGGCAAGTCCAGAGGTCTAAAAAAATAACACTACGGAGTTCCAAAAAAAGGGAGATGATGATGATGATGATGATGACGATAGATATGATTGGATATGGATATGTCTGGGTTCACAACTCTCAGATGGTGTGTATACTTGGAGTTTCCTCTTGCATGCTTGAAATGGGAACACTACAGGCAGCCCTGCCTGAAGGGCCAGTAGCACATTGTTTGACACTTCGTGGCTCTCCAAATGCATCGCAACCATGATAGGCCACACACCCATGTGTGACCTGCGGATCAACTACTGTAACCCCACCAAATCACTAGCGGCCCAGGATTGACATTTAAAAAATTAAGTGCCTAAATCTTGATCTAGAAATCCCCCAACTGAACCCCATCATTTGTTTTCGTGTACGTTTCTATTAAAGGACGCTTTTAAAAAACGGGGCTCCTGGCCGGTCCTACGAACGGAGCATGGACGCTACGAACGGAGCAACCGGTGAACGTTCCACCGTCGAGTCTGCACTCCGCCTCCGCCGAGTCGTGGAGCGATTGGATGCGCTCCGGATGCCCTGCGGATGCGCGGCGCGAGCCGCTGGGGCGAGGGGGCGAACCACCCGAGTCAAGGGGTGGTGGCAGAGAGAGAGAGAGAGATGTACCGGGAATCATTGAAATGGACGGGCTAAACCACGTCAAGCAAGCCACATCAAGTCCAGCAGTGGGCTATTGGTTTTGCTTTGAATCCCCACAACTGCCGGAGAATTTGTTCCCTAAATCTCGCAAGAGCAAACGAAAAAGAAGATGTTCAAACCAGCACCTTCTTGATCCTTCTTGTATAGAATATATAGAATAGATTAGATCTCAAGATTTCGTAAAAAGCGGCACCTCGTCCATTTGACAGGGCCTTTCTAACAGAAACCAGGTTTACGATGTCTTGGAACCACCTAACATATTACCTAAAGCATCCATCGAGTCCAAAGCATCAGATATCGTAGGGTTAGCAACGACCCAACACATGCAAAGCAAAGTGCCCTCCTTCTTACCATCATGGAAGCTAAGCGGCAACGCCTGTTAATAGAAAACAAATGAACACAACGTGGTCAAACCATTCAAGGCTAAACGGAGGGTGTGTGGAGAAAGGGGGTCAGCAAAAATCGCTTATACGAAATTAGTGCATCAAAAATACCTTCCACGAAGTTCTGCGAAGGTTTCTGGGATTTCGTTGCAGTCAGTTCTCCTACTGGCCCACCATTCCACGAATTGTCCACGAACAGCCTTGGGTTCTACGAAGGTCACGCGCCTTCCACGACGTTAGTAGAGTAGGTTTTTTGCAAAACCCTTTCTGTGCACTACCCTTCCGTTTGCCTTTGAACCATGACAAACCCAGGGCCAACGGTTCCACGTCCTCTTTCAGGATCCCAAACAATTTCACATGGCATCCCCAAACAGGTCACTTGGGCTCCACCCAAAGGTCACTTCTCAGTCCCACATTTTCATCTCAGTCATCCAGGTCGCTTCAGCCCATTGGACGAACCGGAACCGCTCCGTCGGTTTTTGGCCGCGACTCGACTCAAGGCGTCGCAGCGTCCGTACCGCGACTCGGAGATGCGGACGCCTGGAGGGAGGCAGTGGAAAGACGGCCGTCCGGTGGTTCTGAGGCGAAGTACGCTGAAGGTCATTTCAGTGGTTTCCGGTATAGGTGTCAATGTTCTGACTCCATCTACCAACAGTTCATGCTCCCCTGAGCAATTTTGTGCTGAAAGGTTTACAGGATCAAGCAACTGCTAGAATGGCAGTGCATGGATCAAATCCATCTACAGTACTATATTTGATGAGTTTTTACACATACTGATGCTTGTGACTTACTTGTTGGCTCATGAAGGTTAATGCATCCTACATACATCAACCGTTTCTGATCTTCTATGCACATCAGTGACTAGTGCCTGTCTGAGAAATACCCTTGAAGGACCTATACTGATCATACTGAAACTTTGAAGACATCTGCTCTTCTGCCAGTCTTGATGGGAGAAAGGCCACCAATCTTCCAGGAAGCAGGTCCAAAAGACCCCGCGGAGCCCAGGAGCCCTGGGAGTCACTGCCGGATGCTCATCCGGATGCTCATCCGACTGCTTCGAGACAAAAACTGTCCAGACTTGGGACTCGAGACGCAAATCCCCAGGTCAAGTAACGTTAAAAAAAGCGATGTATTATATATACACCTGATATTGCCTGATATAATTGATTGATATTGGGTGATGATATATTGATTGTACATGCATCGATCATCTATAGGATATCTCCCAAGTGCTTGGGTCGGGTCTCTCGTTCCGCCTCGATGGGGCTCAGCGAGTCCACCACCACGGAGCTGATCTGGGAGCTTTGGTCGAGGTCGGCACCAGCCGCTGCCTGACGAGTAAGGCAGTCGAAGTGCGACAAAAATGCCACGAGGACACGCAACCAGTGGGGAAATGAGACGGACATAGACTGACTATCTGCAGAAAAAGGAGCCTTCCCATCGACTGAAACCATCTTTCTGGGTTAGAGAATTCTTTACGCACGGATGGTTTCAGTGGTTGGGAAGGCTCCTTACTTTGCAGGGAGCCTTAGTCTGTCTCATTTCGAGTTCGGTTGGATGGGAGGAACTGAAATACGACATGTGACGTTTGAGGGCAAGTTGAGGGCGGGTCCAAAATTCAAGAGTATGTTCCAGAATGTCAGTCAATTACGATCACCCCCGGTGAAAACAGAACCTCAAGGGCCCAAGCTCCTAGGGGCATGCCCCTAAGTTCTCTCCGAGGCCTCGAGTGGCATCATCCATCGCGGCGCGGGGCTCCCTGCGATTCGGACGCCCGCGTGGTCGCAGCCCCTTCGTCTTTTTCTCCAATCGCATCTTGAAATCATGAGACGCGCAGAGCCCGCCGCAGCCATAAACTGCAGAATCGATCTAACTGGATGGAATAACTGGGCGTTGGTAAAAATAAAATAAGAACGGGTGTAGGGGAGGCGGGACCCTCCAGGTTTCTTACCTCTTTCGGCCCTTGCGGCTTCCGGCCCCGGACTCCAACAATGTCCTTCTTCGGACATCCAGCGGAAGGAGTCGACGGCCGAGGACATCTGCCGACTTCCGGATCCCCAACACGTTGGACGGCCGAAACTGAGGGGAGAGGCGAACTGCGAGCCGTTCACGCCGAACGCGCGGAGCGAGCGAGCGGGACTCCAAAAAGCCCCCGGTGTCCAGCTCTTGAGCCCATTTGGATCGTTTTTGTGAACATCTTCTCTGGCATGAACTATAATGGGTTGCACAGTCAAAATGATGGAATATGACGACACCCAACTTCAGTACGAGGATCAATTGATCAGTTTGAATGCGTGCCCGAGGGCCCAGGCTGCTGTCCACCGTCTCCACCCCTCACAGCTCTCAACTTGCAACACAGCTCGCCATCGTACCATACCACTGCGTGCCACCTCTCCCCGGCCGTGCAGGGTCCGGTGAGACTGTACGCTAAAAGTCGTCCTGGATGGGGTCCAACATCTTCTTGAATAATTAAAAAATACTAAATCGGTGACCAAGCGGCATATCATGGATACTCTACTTTTATCATGGAGTTGCCATTGATGGCCCATGTCTATGATGTCTGTCTGCTCCTGGACCCTCACATGCGAGGAGTGCTCGTACCTTGTCCTATGCTCACAACCTCCGAGTTGGCCCCCGACGGACGTGACGCGACTACGAGTGCCGGGCGCCAGGTCCCAAGCCAAAACTCGAGATCGGATGAGCCGATTTCGGGACAGGCGCATGCAGCACAGGCCTATCCAGTGCAGTTGTAGGGGCATGGCCCCTGCCTGTACGGTTCTCGGGGTTGTCCTGTAGTAGGAACAACCCTCGAAACAAACATTTGGAATGGAGGGCCGGGGGAAAAGCCCAAAACACTGACGCACCCACTGAGAGTTGATCAAATATGTCCATCTCCACCACCGTCTCCCACGGTATGTGATATAGCCAATTATCCACAAAATAAATAGTTAATTATTGATTTGGCACTTTATTTGGCACACCGGCATACTCTACCCTCCACCCCCTCTCCCTGCACGTCCCCGCGCATCTGCTTGGGCAGCGCCACCGAGAGTGCAAGCTCTCGGTGCCACCCGCTCTCTCAAGCGATCACGCAACAAGCGCCCTCGGAGGCTCCAGAGCTGCGCAGCTGGGCCAACATCGTGCGGAGGGCCTCCTCTGCATGGCAACGGTCCTGCCGGGTGTGGAAAGCCGGACCGGTCGGCCTTTGGGTCGGCGAGGGCTTTGTTCCAACCGGAAGAAGGGGAGGTGGTGGGCTTTTGGGTTCTTTTGGTCCATGGCGGGGCCATTGTTTTGGCGTGCTCTTGAGCGTTTCGTTTGAGAGTTAGGTCCCAGTGGGTCCTAGGATCTAGCGGCTATCTGATTAGCGATCGACCCCTTTCACGGCCCTGGCTTGTGAACACAAAAGGCCGCCAAGTACCGCGCTTCATTGCACCAGCCAGGAATCTCTGATTGGGACTGTCCGCTCCACACCTCTGTCAAGTCAGCTCACCTGCTCGATCCAAGGCATCAACAAAAAACCTACCCAACACAAGAAAGAAGAAAACCTACTCTTTCCGAGAGTTTCCGAGAAGAACTCCTTCCAGTTTGGGGTGAAAACGGAGGCCTCCCAACAGCTGCGGCCACCGAACACACGTCACATCCACACGTCCGAACGAACAGGACGTGGGTCCCGAGCTAGTCCGAAGACTCCAAAGAACAGGATCTTCACAAAGGTTCGCCAGGTTTCTTCTGGGACTTGGCTGTGGAACCCAAACCAGGCGACCGTATGCGGCCGTGCTGGACCGACCCCAGAGGCCCCAGAGGACGGAGGATCCGACCCGTCACTCACAGCCACTAACAGCCGTGACGGGTCTGACCCGTTGAATCACCTGCGTTGGCTCGAGGCCAACGCAGTGATTGTGTTTTGCAGCTTTGCAAGTTTGTTTAAATGTGCTTCACCCATCAGATGCCCCATATTCTCCAACGCCCAAAGGTCATTCTGATCCGCACGAAGAGTCGGTCCATCCCGTTTTTCAAGCGAACCACTTCCACGGTGGCTTCGTCCTTCTCAGGTGCGATCATCTTCTTTGCCAGGTCCATCGAGCCACTGCCCGCACGACGGTTCCAGCGTTTCTCGTCCCAAAGCTTCTCGCCGGGTGAGGAGAGGCGGAGGTGGAGCGTGCCAGAAGTGGTGTAGTAGGGATGTTCAAGGGAACATATCTATACGTGATTCAATACGAGAGGACACCTGTTCAATCCTGTTCAATATAGTTTCGGAGGTGAAAACCATGGCCATGGTTTCATGTTACAAATGTTCCGAACACCGATTCTGGGAGACCGAAATGGACCAAGGAACATCGGCCGCCGGGTCAACATGTTGTTTTCACGAGACCTGGATCAAACACTTGGCGAATGAAAAGGGGCAAAGGGAACCGACTCTTTTCAGATCCCTGCATGTCCCTAGCAACCCAGTGTGCGGAAACAAAAAGAGCTGAGTTGCGGCACCCAGTGGCCCAGTGGCTTTCCATCTGCGCCACCACCTTCATAGGCTCTTTTAAACCTAATACTAATAAATTACACAAAATTACTAATGACTATATAATATCCTATAAATTACCAAACGTTTCAGCTCGATCAATGTGATTCCTTCGCATGGCACAGAAATCCATATTTAACTCATGCTGCTGAATCTGAAGCCATCGCAGCTTTTCCATCAGCGGTTCGGTTCCCCTGTTGGTCTTCCCCCCAGCGATATCCAGCAATTCCGTGCTTTTTCGGTGGCATGATGTGGCATGGCATCAAGGAAGCAAACATGCTGTTGGAGCTACTGCAAGTAACTTAGGTTATATTGTGCATGTTTATGGATGGGCCACAAGAAGCTCGTCCTCCTCAAAGCCCACACCAAACGGCCAACCTGTCCTCCACGTCCTTCTTTTTTTGGGGATCGTTCTCGCAGTCCTTCCCCGTGTACATGAGCCCTGTGACGAAGGCAATGAAAAGAACTCCCATGCTGTAGAGATCACACTTTTCCTGGCGGTCGGGGGCCAAAAAGCTAGAAATGTTTCGCTATGTGTGTGGGCGAAAGGTCCCTCAAACCCCCTTTGCACCCCCTTTGCGTCTTTCAGTTGAAGTGTTATTCAAGGTGGAAGGTTCGCCCCGTTGCAGATGTTCCGTAAACATGTGTCCTTTAGATGTTAATTTTAGTGCAATGTTCTAACGTATTTACATCACACAGTATGTAGTGCACATGTTTAAAGAGACGTGTGCCAGTCTGCAGCAACCCACCACCAAAAGCTTCCAAAAGCCGTTCACCTGTTGACCCCAAAAACCGTTCCGCCATGTGAGCGCCGGTCGAGTCTCAGTGTAGTGTCCCTCGTAGACCTCCGGCGCGGTGAAGGGACGACTTCCCACCGTCTCGGTCATGGGGCCTCGGTGGCGCGCGTCCGGACCTGGTGGAAGTGCCACCAGAGTTGTTCGGCAGTCACAAGAGTACGGTAGACTCTGAATTAATATGAAATAGTATTATCTATGATCTATGTACATATTTAAATATAGAGTTATATCATATATATAATATTGATTCATAAAGCCCCCCATGTGGGATTGTAAACTATTTTAAAGCATCGTCTTTGAAATTAGCATGGTGGACCTAGGATACCCCATTTTGTACTATAAAACGGTTTTGGGTTTACAAAATGCAAGGCGCATCTTTTATTGAAGTATCGAGTTGTACAAAATGACTGGTGTGCACCACTGTCGAATGCTGATTTCTTACAAAATGATGGTTCCCAGTGGCAAAAATTGGGAGGTATGAGACATGGTACTTCTTACAAAATGATTGTTCCCAGAGACATATCTGTGCGCTCGTAGATGAACTTTTTTACACATAGAAATGACATAGGCATTTTATTGCATTTCAAGAATTAATGCTACAAAATGCATGTGCTGATATGTGATGTGTGTGTGTGTGCTACACATTCCTTTCTTACAAAATGCCAGGATTGATCTCATGTACAGTCAATTGTCAGAGTCAACCTGAAAGTGACCCTAGGCAAGGCTTTTTGTAGCAGCTTTATGTCTCTTACAAGATGAAATCCAAATCCTGATTGCTCTTGGAAGTGGCCGCATCCTTACAAATGCAAATCCTGACAAAGTTGTCTCGTAAAATGGCATGGCCTGCCACCCAGTAAGATCACCAAATGTACCGCTACAAAATGGCTAGAAAAAATCATTCTTACAAAATTGCCAAAATGGCTACAATACTTACGTACAATGGACCCTAGGACACCCCATATCGTAAGGGAAATTTCAAATGATGATTTTAAAACCTATTCATCAGGGGATTTATCAATCAAGAGTCTACATTCACAGGAGTTTTCGGCAACCCGGAGTAGTGTTGACCCAAGATTGAACAGCTGGCCCAAACCTGAGGACTCTTTTGGGCCTCACAGTTGCTAAACTGTATGCTAATTGATCTGATCTAATTGCTTGGACACTGCTCCTGCTCAATTCCAGGTTTGACACTAGAGGGACCTGGACCTTCTCCATCGATTCTTCTGGACAACCATACATGGGTGTCCTCTGCTGGCCACCACCGGCGAAATGTTCTCCCAGCTTCACGGCCAACCAAAGCAAGCGGCGCCCGCCCCGCGGCTTGGATTTCCACTATGTCCATTAGTATGTCACATGTCACCTACACTCTGGAAGAGGTCCACATGGAACTTGAAAACCTCTGGGTCTTTTTGGCGGAACATCGTCTTCCAGTCTGGTCCATGCCAAGCCCGGAAGCCGAGACGTCTCGAGACCCGGGGATCTCGTGTCCCAGGGGCTCTTGGGTTCGAACTCACAGGCCAGGTTGAAATCCGCCAGCTTCCATGTCTTCCATCGGCCGCGCGAGGACAGGAGCCTTGGCCGTTCCGGAACGGAACGCTGGGAGAGACTGATGACTTCCAATGCTCAATGCACTGATCAGTCCCAGGTCCGAATCGCTGGAGGGGGACAAACCCAGTTTCTGGATCGGCCCAGCAGCTTTCGGCATGTGTTCCCATGCTGCGCATGGTAAGGACGAAGGGGATCAAAGGTGGGGCAGAAGGATGAAGCATGGATGAGGTCGGTCATATGATATGGGTCATCTTGGACAAGGTTTCCAAGATCATCTTCACTGAGAGAAGAGGAACCAAACTGATCGCGCATGTCTAGGAGTGCAACTGATCACCAAGTTCACACAAGGCTCACTCCTGAAGGTCTTTTACCTGCTGTCAAGCAACACATTGTCCGGCTTGATGTCACGGTGCGCTACCAAGTTTCCATGCAGGAAATTCAATGCCGTCAAGAGCCTTGGATTGCGTTGCTGTGTGCTGACTGGTGGTTGGTTAAGACAATCCTCAAACAGGTGTACCAACCATTGAAGATCAATGAACCATCTTCGACCCGGGTGCAACTTGACAATGGTTGGTACCACGATATCCTCCTAAAGCACCGTGGCACAAATCTCGGATGTTGGTCTACACAAAAGTCGAAGATCTCGCATGTTGGTCTACAAAAAGGTTGATGAACAATTCAGTTGGGGATTGTGCGAAGAACTATATATCATAATATATATATATATATCCCTTTGGTAGAGCCATCCGTCTGCAAAAAAGAACTGCACAAACCAGTAGAATGACTCTTATGGGAACCCTGCTGTTTCGGGCTCCATGTCTTTGGACGGAGGGGGCAAACAAGTTTCCCTGAACACGTCAGTGTGCTGCTCCGTGTTCCCTCACGTAGTTAAAAAGGTATAACCAGTATACGGGGGAGCTCCGGGTCTTGCGAGGGTCGGTCTTGCGAGGTCAAGCCTGCACGGAGGTTTCTGAAAGAACCCATGTCCCACCGAGGATGAGGATGTAATGATTGTCTTTATACTATTGTTATGTTGGTTCATGGCAACAGGATGTAACAGGATAGCTGATCAAGCTGTCCCACCTGCTGATGCAAACGACGCGCATATTGCCGGAGCTTCTGGCAGAAGTGAGCATCCTGGGAACAAGGGATTGTCACGGTCGTCACGTCACGTGTTTTGCCAAGGCACTGGTGCATCGTGTTGCGAACCTCTGATGGTTCAGGAGGTTCGTAGACCGTGCAGCCGCGAAAGACTTCTTCGGATTTGGACAGCATGTACTCCCTGCGACGGCCCCGGTGTCCAGTGACTCAACATGGCCGTGGCTGAAGCAATGGGGAGCTGCTTTAGGGGTGACACACAGCGTAAGCCTGCGCGGTTGGATCTCCCCCCGCCTCATGCTGCCACCTTTGCACAGCTCGAGCATGATGTCCATGACTCCAAATGCGGAGTACACATCATGGATGCCAACGATGTTCTCATGCTTCATGCGACGCAGCAGTTCGACCTCTGACGGAGCTGCTCGGACTCGGGACTCGAGCTGAGTCGGTGTTCAGCTCGGCCGCTCGGCATGGGGAACGATGGGCGTTGCCAAGCTCTTACCAGTGGGTCAGCGTGTGAAAAGCACGGGTTTTTCATCCTCCGGAGAATGGCTTCCATGTGTTTCATCCTCGGGAATGGCTTGGCTTGGAAGTTGTGAGCTTTAGACTTCCCAAGGCGACAACTTGTGCCGTACATTAGCCCGGGAATGATGATTGATTGCTTCAAAACTGGAGTTGGAGAACCTCGAAAATCTCGTCAAAACTAGTCCTGGTTCTTATACTTCCAGTGTATCCCTTCTTCTCCACTGGTCCCCTCACACGATCCTCCAATCACACCTCCACTTCGCAGAGGGGATTCTTCTCCATGACCACGTGCTTCCACGCGAAGCGTTTCTTGCTCCCCTTCCTTGAGTCTGCAAGGGATCTCTTGGGAGTGATAGGAAGGTTTCACCAAATGAACCAGGAAGATCCCGGCAAGCAAAAAAGAGCAAAGGCAAATATACTCTGGAAAATTAACATGGAACCTAAAAACCACTGGGTTGTAGAGGAAAATAGAAAATAGTCTTCCAAAGGTCAATTTTTAGGTTCCATGTTAATCTTCCCGGGTGTACACCCCCAAGTGCCATGGATGCTGAAAGTTCACCACTGGACACTGGAAGTAGCGGGTAACATTGGACCCTGGGTGACCCTGGGATGTTTCTCTGGTCAGGATCCGAGCTTTTGCAGGGACGATTTCAGATTTCCCGGGTCCAAACCCGAACACACCTAGCCTAGATATCAAAAATGATGTCCAGTCAGTAATGTCCAATGGGGGCTCCACCGAGCTCTGGCTGTGAATCTTAGTGGTTGTGACACAGGGTCCTCCAGCCAAACACTGCGATGGGCCAGAATTGCAGGTTTCCTGCCACAAAACCATGTCATGCTTCTGTGGATGGAGGCCCCTCGCGACAATCTCCTGAAATGACCCTATGCCTGTGACTGCAACTTTCCGGAGCCATGCGTCTGCTGAACTTCCTTGACCCATGCAAACTTTCCACTGCCCAAATCTCGGATCACCGTGTAGCCCTCCTGAATGCGTGTAGCGGTGTAGCCGTGCTTCCAAGAGACCAGTGACAATGACCCAGTGATGTGGTGAAAATCAAGTTTCACCCGTCTTATCCCTTCTTCATCTGTTCGTAGTGACCCTGACACTTAAGGAAAATTCAAACAGTAGGCTATCGAATCACTGACTGTTGATTGCACAACCCTTGCTACAAAGGTGTCCGTTAACTGATTGTCCACTCAGCACTTCTATAGCCCCTAAGTATCGATACTATCGTCTACAGTTGCAGCGACGGATTCACTGCTTGCTCCATGACACATGGAAGTCGAACATGAATGACAATGGGCCCTTGGAAGACCATTGAAGACCATATCATATTCCTCTACAAAAAAGTGGCTTTCCACTTCCATGTTAGTTCCAGGGGGTGTCTCCTAGCTGGTCGCCCAGTCCAATATGTTGTCCTTCTTTGAACATCTTCGTCCTTTGCAATGGACCAATTCAGCTCGAAGCACCTCAAAGCCGACATCCGAAGTGTGACATCCGATGTCACAGCCAGATCTCACCCGGATCTTGCCATGAAAATCCGATCGTTTTCCTCCCTCCCCGCACGACCACCGCGGGCATTCCACTCGCGCTCCTCCACCTCCGGCGACACTTGACGGTCCCATCCGGTGGAGGCCGTGGCGATGTCATCTTCACATGGAGCCATGGCGAAGGCTTTCGAACGCACGGACGAGGGCAGCACGTCGGACCACCGGACGCGGACGGCGGGGTGCTGGAGCCGGAGCCGAGGACGAGTCCGCTCGTCGGCGTGAGGGTGGTGCGTGGGTGTGGGTGGGAGGGGAAGTGGAACGCGGTGGAAACACAGAAAGCAACACATTGAAAACAGGTCTGTCAGTCATAGATGATCTGCTGATCTGCCCTGATCTGCCAACAAAGCTCTTATACAAAAGACAGACCTCTTCCACCCCGATGCCGATGCCTCCAATATTAAGGCCTTGCGGCTTTTCTTCGGAAAGGCAAACATTTCACCCCCAAAGTTCACGAATTCTCGAACCTCCAAGTCTCCTGGAGACCAGTTTCTTTCAGGTGCATCATCGGTGTCCGGTCCGTCCGCCTGGTGCCGCTCCGGCCGCTCCGGGCTCTGCTCGGTGAGGAGGTTGCCTCGAGGCGAGCTCACCGATCGTTTGGACCGGTTTCCCCGACGACGTGAAACGTCGGATTCTGGGGACCAAGGAGAGAATCTGCTAGATCCTGTAGGGAAAATCGCTCAGAATGAGAGGCTCTGGAACCAGCCACAAAAAGGAAGCCGCACGTATTGGTTGCACTCCAGAATTGGGATACATTTGATGTTTGTTATTTTTTGGGGGGGTGAGAGCCCCCACCTAAATTGAGATGAGCATGTGGGGCTGTACTTATCTGAACCCTTCAATGTCAGGATGTACTTTCGTGGCTGAACGTAGGATGCGCATGTCTGCATGGGCATCCATATGGATCCATACAAATCCATTTGACATCCATCTGGATAAGAAAAGACCCTAATTCATCCTATTCCGGACCTCACCTTCAATAAAGTCGGATTCCAACCACCACAGGACCATTGATCTCATGATACCTCGTGGCTTTGATCGAGAAAATTTATATTCTTTACCAGCCTTACGAAGGGTGTTCGACTACAACACCAGGGTCACCCGAACTGACCTCCACTTTTCAGTGTCCTTGAAGGGTATAGGGCCATAGGGATCGCCCGATGGCGGATGATGAGAAATGGATGACCTCCTTCCAACAGTACTGCCGCTCAGCCACGCCCCTGGCGGGTCGCCACCACACAGTACTGCAGCTGGGAATACCTTGGAGTCCGGTCCGGTCCGGTCGACCGATCCCGGGTCTCTGGGACCGGCTGAGAGGGCCAGCCCAAGGGTGCGCCGTGGTGAGTACGGTAGATCGAGCACAGCAAGCTAGCCACAAGCCCTAGCCCCCACCAATCCGTCTGGCCCAAAAATCCCAGCAACCGCCATTCTGGTATGTCCTCATCATACATCAACAGTCCAGATGACCCTTCCGTTGGGATCTTGAGGATCAAACCCCCAAGATTGCCAAAGCTTCTGAGCCTGGCAGCCTCCCCCCCGTTCTGAGCCCATCCAAAATGGTTCGGACATCCCCATCCCGCCCGGATTGGAACAATCATGAACCAGTGCTGTCCTTTTTGCGAAGAATAGAGGGGTCGGTTTGGTACCATGTACCTGTTGGTGGTACATTTGGGGGTATCTACTGCAGTAACCCCCTGTATTCATCAACCAGCCAATAGTAAAAGGCAATCAATTATGGCATGAACCATCACTATGCTTTCTGCTGAAGTTTGAGGCTCAGCAAGCATCACCCATTCCTCTCCCACGCGAAATGCCACAGCCACAGCTTCTCAATGGAGAGTGCCACAACCTCCTTGTCCAGTGAAGCATTCCTGAGCGACGAACTCGCAGGTGTGCAAGCTGACGATCCCATGGACCCTGGGTGGTTTCGATCATTTGCCTCTACAACCCACTGGTTTCGGGGGTCGATGTGGTCCTCGGTCTTTGAGGGCAAGAATCAGCTGCAACCGATCCATGCCAGTCCAAGGGCCCAAGTACCACCTGGAAGCTGAACGACCTCATTGACGTACTGTAGTTTTGCATGATGGACCCAGTAAATTGAATGCCGCCAGACCTGTACGGTGTTTCTTTCAGAAGCTGCAATGGATCAAGAAGCCTTGGTCAACTGCCTTTAGCCAAGCACCAGGTCAATTCCATTAAATTCCTCTGGACCGACTTCAACCCCAATGGCTAATGGCTGACTGAAAGAACTCCGTGCGGAGAGGTCTAGAGTCTAGAAGTCTACGGCCTCAGCCCAGAAATATGATGCAGCCACTGTGAACTCCCATCGCGACACCACACCCTATTCCTCACTTTTCATGGCGAGGGTCCCCCCCGATCCCGTGTTTGACCTCCACCATCATCCCATGCTGGAGCTCTTTGAGCCCGAAAACCCATCCATCATCCCATGCTGGAGCACCTTGAGCTCGAAGAGGGTCTGGAACCCTACCCTGTGGATATCTGCGGGTCTGTACCTTGGCCCAACATACACACACCTCCTGGATCGAACGAACCGCTCCGCCTCGCCCAACCTGCCCCCGTCTTCCCGTTCAGTGCTCCACAGGTAGAAGGGCACCAGGAACCTGGTCCACGTGGAACGGCACGCGGTTCCCAAACACAGGTGTTTGGACGTGCCCTCCGCGGTAGCTGGGATCTCTAGAGCTGCCATTGCTTCGTTGGAAATGTATTTGCAAGGTGTGCCTTCAATATTTCAGATGATACCTGATACATCCTGATACCATATAGGACCCCCAAAAAAATAGAAATTGCAAAGAGGCAAGGGAACAGCGTCATGGAGTTGAGTTTTGAGTTGTGAGGAACAAAAAGTTGAAGCAGCCCAGTCTTGAAGAAACAGCATCTAAGGGATGGCCAGCATGTCCAAACTCTCGCGAGGATGAAGGGCTGAAAGTAAGCTTATGATATTACTATAGCAAGATCCTCAAGGACTCTGAGAGGCAACCAGTACGAGTGGCTTGGACTATTCAACTATTCCAGTCAACATCACTTGAAGCCACTTTACTTCTCACAGGCATAACAGCCCAAGAGACTTTCCTGAACCACACGGTTCTACCTCCGACCCACCCACCCACTTACCAGGACCATGCAACCAGTCCCCGCTACCCTTCGGCTACTTCAGTCGAGCGGAGCCGAGCGGCTGATCGCGCTGGATGCTCCGGCACTGCTCCAGCACCTGCAACCGGAGAAACCCGTGAAAGGCCTGACCCCTGAGCCGAGCCTGCACCTCCCTAGAAAACTCGGCACCTCTCCGTCTTCACATTAAAACCCAAAAACAAGGGACCTTCCCGTTGAACGAGTCCAAGTAATCATTGATCCAATGAAATGCGAATATTCCAAGGTTGTCTAAATTTCAGAATGTATGCAGTAAGCATTCCTTGGATGGCCTCAAAACGCCAAGCTCACTGCAAAGCAGATTTGCAGCGCCTGGCGAAAGGCGATTTCCACGTCCAACGCCCTGGGGTGCGAGACCTGTCGGAAGATGATGCCCAGCTCCTGCGCAGGTTCCAGGCAACGGCCTGGGGGGGGAAGTCTAAGAACTGGTGAAAGGGAATGGCCTGTCTCAGAAGTAATTACACTCGCTGAAACAATCATGGCTAATTACGTGGACAGGGAAGACGATTTTCCTCTACCAAGAGGGGGTGGTCCACTTCATGATTGTTGCAGGGATGAGGGTGATGGGGGTGTGCTGTACTTTTATACCGGCCATCTTTCATGTTGGCCATGCCTGGCGAGACTTGTTGCGGCAGCATCAGCTGTGTAGCTTCCAAAATCAGTTTCTAGATGTTTACCTGGGATCTTTCTATTATCCTGCCTTGAGTCACGTCCACTCTGCCCATCAGGGCCCATCAGCTGGGTGAAATGGATCCGGGATCCCCGTCGGTCTTGAGTCAACAGCCTGCTGAAACGTTCTCCGCCAGGCCACATAGTAGTCCGCGGGCAGAAAGGGCTTCAGAGGGTCGTTGTGGTACTTGGTGAGCTCCTTGGCATCAAGATCTGAGATGTGGTCTTGGAGCAATGAGGAATTTTCACGGAGCGATAAGAGTCTTGAATCTCAAAGAGCGGTGAGCGGTTGAAAACGCTGTGGAGTTTCCAGCCCTCCAACTGCCATCCAAACGTTGTTTCTGACATCTATCTGACTCCATCTATAATCAAGCCCTGCATGTCAGGAACCATACAATGAACTCATCGTCGCCTTGGCTGGTTCACCACTTGACCCGCCTCTAATCGCTTTAGCAGGCCAACTGAGAAAGAACATGAAAGAACATCGACAGGTGCCAGCAGGATAGGCATCCCAGTGGGGAAGGCCAGGTGCGTCCGTGCCATGCCGAGACTCCTCTTTCCATTTCACCACCTTCTCGTAGGAGGTCTTCACATAATCCCTCCTCTTCGTCAGCATGTCGTCACACTCTTGGACGAAGCAGTCCCACGGAGCACACTGGCGCCAATACCTTCAACGGCTAATCCAGCAGCTAGCTAGCTACACCGCCTACGATGCTCGAACAAAAAAGCTGGGAGACCGTGAGACCTCATCCTAGGCGTCGCTCTCCGGCCTAGGAAACGTGACAAGTGACACGTGCGTGTAAAACACGTGCGTGTGACAGGTGCGTCCAACGCCATGCGCAGCCAAAGGGGCCACTTGAGCAGCAAGAGCGGCTTGTCCGAATGCTCATCCACCAGGGCCCTTAAGCCCCCAAGGTCGACGGAGATGTCACCGTCAAATTCCACGAGCCAATCCTCAAACTGACGGGAGGTCTGAGAAACTAACTCTGATCACTAAGTCTCCACATGTACGGCGCGGTTAGCTGGTCAGTTAGCTGGGTGGTCAGCTGGCTCATCTTGGTGGTAGCGGTCAACAACCCTTTGAGTTTTGTAGTGCATTATATACACTTTTAATAAACCAACCTGCGCAAGCATGTCTTCTCCTAATTTCAGCACTACTGTTGATGGAAATCATCCTGCACCACCAAAAATGGCATGCGAATGCCGAATGCCCAATCGCCTGCAAAGGAGTGTTTGGCCACATTCATGGAACCCAGCTTCAATTCATCTTCGATCACCACCAGCCAGCCATAACCCTACCGGAGCCCTTTGATCAACTGGTATTGTACACTCCCTGAAATATATAATTAATCATTGAAGTTGAGGCGGAAAATGGCCCCTCGGATCTATTTGGATGATTTGGGATGAACAGTTTCCCCTACCAACGGGTGCTTTTCCACTTAGGGGAACGACCACTTGACCGCTCCTCCCGTCTCCGGTGCCGACCCAGGGGCCCAGGTGCCGTTCAACAGCCAGGAGGGCGGTGCGAACTTCAGACTCTTCGCCGCCAGGCGGGCCTGGAGTGCTTCGTCGCGCGCCCGACGAAGTTCGACACACCGCGGCGGCGGGTGTGTAGGAGGCGATTGAGGCGGACTGAGGCGGAAGGAGGGCACACCCTTCGGACTTGGACGTTGCTGTGTGCCATTTGATGTGGGAAAATCCTCCCAAACAGCCCACCTGGACCTGGTGCAGGAGCATCACCCAGCAGCACGGTACGGGGACCACTAGCATAACTCCTATTTGTGGCAAATGGCAAATGACAGTTCCTCTCTCATTGAAGGCACAACGAGGCCTTGTCTATACTTTTTATATGTTTTTGATATTTAACCATTTTTATAGTTACATGCCGGGGCTTGGCCTAGAACACTACAAAGAGCATGTTTCTCCTCGCTTCTCCCCCCTTCCCCACGCGTGACTTTGGGGTCAGGACACCAGAGGCACTTCTGGAGTGGCTTCGATCTGTGGTAGCATTGTCAAAACCCACCTGGCGCCACCATCAGGTGCAGTCCAGGTAACAGCAACAGCTCTCTCTCACTCTCTCTCTCTCTCTCCCTTTTTCTGTGCAGAGTCTAGCTGCTGCGCAACCCGAACAACAGCAACGTCTTTACAGCGCAGTGACACATCAGAGTGACAAATGTGACACATCAACGGCACCTATATTATATAGACGTTCCGTTCCTTCAAACGAACAAACTAACTAACTAATGCAGCACATGTCTTTCCATGATTTTCAACATATTTCAACATCCCACCCGGATGAAGGGCTAATGTTGGGAATGTTAAGGCTGAACATCCAAAAACTACCATGGGAACGGGAACCTTGGACCCGAAAATGCCTCACAGTCTTCGGACCAGTGCAGAATGGCAGATGACTCGAATGCAAATGACTTCCTATTGTTCCCAACTGGTGTAGAATTAATTGCACCCGTCCTTCCAAACATATGCATGATGCATGACTCCATGACATTATATAAATTGTTCCACACCAAGCTATCTACATTATGAAATATATCAACCTCCCTCCAGCACTCTTGGCACCTCTGGCCGCCCAATATGCCCACCACGAGGTGATAGGAATTCCGCAGAAAAATCACGTTCGCTCAGGGCCTGCCGACGGGCCTGCTCACCACGTGACGGTGACTTCCCTTCCTCCAGCGCCCATCCCGTCGCCCGGGCGCACCAGCCCTGCCGGCGCCAGTGCTCCAAGTTGGAAGGCTTGGCGGCACGCCTCCGGCGGCGTAGCGATGTAGCCGGGCACTGGGGGAGTGTCACCCCACTTGCGCCAAACGAAGAGCTTAGCATATGGGTTACAATGAGATTGACTATGAAGCTCTTCATATGAGTAAGGATAGAAGCTCTTCGTATTGCTTACAAATATCTGCAATAGGCTTGAATCTTGGTTGTGGTTGGTGTTGTCAATGCCACCTGAGAATCACTAGTCATGAGGATTCTTCCAAGGCAACGGTTGAACACACAAAAAAACTAGACGACGAGTGGCCCGAAAGCATTTTTCATCACGTAGGAAGTCAGAGTGCGAGTTATCTGTTAAGTGTGTTATAAGTGTTCAGTGTGAAGTGTTAAGTCGAGTGTGTTGAGGCAGTGTGTGGGTCTCTGTGTGTGTGTATCTATGTCTGTGTGTGTATGTGTCTCTCTCTGTATGTCTTTCTGAAGCGCAGGAACACCTGTTTTCTGCAAGTTCTTCACCTCTCGAAAGTCACCTCCGCGTAGTAAAGTTGTACTACAAAGTCGCCAGTTCTCATCTTCCAGCTCCACAGATTGCTCCGTGTACTAAAGTTCTACTACCAAGTCGCCAGTTCTCATCTTCCAGCTCCCCAGATACTCCGCGTACTCAAGTTGTACTACCAAGTCGCCAGTTCTCATCTTCCAGCTCCCCGGATACTCCGCGTACTAATGTTGTACTACCAAGTCACCAGTTCTGATCTTCCCACTCCCCAGATACTCCGCGTACTAAAGTTGTACTACCAAGTCGCCAGTTCTCATCTTCCAGCTCCCCAGCTACTCTGCGTACTAAAGTTGTACTACAAAGTCGCCAGTTCTCA